CCCCCCCCCCCCCCCCCCCCCCCCGCGTATGCGGGAGCATCTCGGTAACATCACTAACACAGGATACCCGTGCTGATTGTCGAGCGATCCTTATGTTCTTGACAGTTCAACTCACTTCTCTTAAAAAAGAGGGTACAGGATACTTATTTCTAAAAAATTTTAGCGAAAAAAATAACCGTGCTGCTGAAATCTTGCATCTGTTCAAGGGGAAAACAAAAGTTCAGCAAAAATTCAAAATTCACAGTTATTGTGAATTTGGAGTGAAAACATTTATTTTTGCTTTGGAATACTCCGCCCTAGTCTTTGCAACGCCTTTTTTATCTTTCCGTTGTTCGCTTTGATAATTACTGTGTAATAATCGCTTATGGCCACCCATTTTGCATATTGCTGAAGAGAAAACTGAATAATTTGTCGATGGTGTATTTTTACACAACAGTAAGTAACATGCCTGAAGGAATTTTTTTGGTGTAATTTTTACTCTCCAGGATAATCGCGAATCGGTGAGCACCGGCAATCCATTGAAATACCACTCGATATTAGGCTAAAAAAAAATGAGAGTCAGCGTGTTGCTGCAGGAATATGAATTGATGCAACCTGAAGTTTTCAATAGGCCTTACTACCAAATCTATTCACAGCATTTTCAGCGTAATCTATATAATCCTACGAACTTATCAGAGACTTCTTCTTCTTGGACTTTCTTGCCCTCAAAACAACATAACTCGTTTGACAAGCTATTTCAGTCTCGAGCAGCGTTGTTGCAATTTTTCAATAAGTATGAGATGTTGTATCACCCCGATCAACAGGAATAGTTGCGGCTCTTGGTTAGATTTCTGTCACCACTCACACTGTAACGTGAAACCCGTGGTTTTACTGTAGCTCTACATTGGGTATTTCTCACGATATAAAACTGCTTATTTTGAAACTAATGACAAAACTGTATAGCATTTGCATTGAGTTCTAAATAATTTTCATACTCTTAATTCGACGAGTATGCAAAGCTCAAATTGTCATGCTACATTTTTTTTTCAAAAGTTTTTTCTTTTTGCTACTTCTCTTTTATACGCTACTGGCTTGTGAAGCTACGTGGTGCATTAGGCATTTTAAAAGTAGAGAAGGACGGATTTAGTCTAAATAGCAAAAATGGAAAGAAATAAGAATTTTTGACAAAATTTTTTGCTTTTCGGTAAAGTTTTCAGCGCTCCTGGCTTCTCTTCCTCGATTTATACATCTGACTGGGCTAAAAATTTCCCCCTCTAGGCTCAATTTCCGGGTCAGCTTCTTCAAAATGGTTCCGACGTTTCTTGCACACAGAAATGAGAACGGTTATCCATTCTGGATAAATTGGTGGCACGTTATGTACAATTAATTTGTAAACTAGCACCTGCGAAATTAAACTCTCGAAGTATGCATAACGAGCTGCAATGAATTACTGGGACACACATCACCTTCTTTTCTTTCTTTCTCTTCGGGCACTCTAGCACTAGAAACAGGCCCTGGATGAGTTCAAATTCGTAGTTGACGCTGCGCAGCTGCAGTCGATAGAATGCCTGCTTGCCCAGGAAAACTGCCTTCAGTAACAGTCTCTTCTTCCTCGTCCAGTCTTTCCTCACGCCCTCCTTCCGCTTCTTCATTCGCCAATCATATTTGCCACTGGTTAATTTGCCTAACTTTTTATGATAATTTTTCGCACGCCTGCAAATCCGCAAAAGAACTTTAAACTGGATGTCTCTGGACTGAAAGAATGGTCACTCGGATAGCCCTCAAAAAAGATAGCAAGCTTAAAGATAGTGACAAAAATCCAAAATCAAAAACTCGTCCGTATTCGCTCTCTTAAAAAAGGAGTGGGAGAAACATTTGGGATATAACCTGAATGGTAAGAATGCCACAAATAACCACCAGCTGTAAATGCTATCGACGGCTTCTTTTTTTGTGGACCGCTTAGAATTTAGACGAATTTGACTCCCTGGCATAATGGCAAGACTAGTTTACCACCAAAACGAACTAGTGATTAGTGGTGTTACCGTAAAAACCTAGAAAAAGTGGATCCGAAGGAGCTGCATTTGTCTACAACTGCTCAACAGTGTCCTATCGTTTCATCATTCGTACTTCGGTTGATCACAGTAACACCGCGAGGCTTTTGCATTCCTACAGAACACATGTGGGCGATCGGCGGCCCAGGACAAGTTTTAATTCGGCCCATGGAGGGAATCGGAATGAATTGTCTAACTAGACGAACGAGAGTTTTGTTCTGTGTTACGCATAAGGCTGAAAGGTGACAGTCTGGAAAATACTTGAGACTCTGTGTCAATGTTATAAATCCAGATTTCAACGATCTTATGCTAAAAGTTAAAATCCAGAGCTCACATTAACCTGCTGCTGATTTTTATGAGTTTTTGCTGTAGCGCTACTACAGCCAACAAAAACGTATATTGTCGAGAAGTCGTCTGTTTGCGTGTGTGTGTGTGTGTGTGTGTGTGTGTGTATATTTGAAGCGCGTGAATATGGCACCCACTTTCATCTCAGTAACCAGG